ACAGGCCAAGGGGTGCACAGCCTCTGGCTCTATGAGGATGAACCACTCCAGGCCCCAAGGGCCTAATGGAGAGGAAAATGGCACTACTACTCTCCTAGGCTGGTTTCTTACACAAAGGGCCAGTCCCTGGAGACTCCACCCTCCCCCTCCCAGGGCAGGCCCCGCCCCCCTGAACCACCACTTCTCTGTGGAGCCTGCTGGGCTGAGAGGGGAGCAAGGCAGGCACACTGGAGGCTTCTAGAAGCTGCTCAGCTGGAGAGGAGGCAGAGCCAGGCACAGAGAGGTCTAGCACCACTGGGGGGATAGAGGTTCCCCCCAGGCACCCCCTCCTCCTCTCGGCCCACCTGCCACCCACATGGCACACCTCCTTTCCATGAATCGCCCAGAGCCTCCTGCCCCCTCCCTGGGCCAGTCTGCCAAGAGGCGACAGTCCCGCCTCCCATCCTTTCCAAGCCCCCGCCTGGTGGGGACCCTCGTGGGAGAATGGCCCCAGAGCTGAGCCCAGCTAACCAGGAGTCCCTGTCCCCTCCCAGATGCCACATCACGCCCAGGCAACCATGAGGCCCATGGGTCGGCAAGGGGGGAAAGATGCCAACCTGGGGGGAGACAGGACCCAGAGGACAGAGGCTACAGGACAGACCGGACCTGAGCCTGAGGCCCGCCCAGGCAGGGGACAGGAGGAAACAAGACTGGGGCACCATCCCTGCGAGGGGTTTTAGGGGAGGACAGGCAGATGGCACCAGGAAAAGGAGCGCTGGGACCCCATCCTGCTGGGGGAGAATGGCCTGGGCCCCGGCCCCACTGAGCAACTCCCCCAGAGGACACCCGGACTGCTAGGAGGACACAGGGAATCACAAGGCCCAGGCCCTCAGCCGGGCTCACACACAGGGTGTCCAGGCTGGGCCACCCATCCAGAGCCAGCAGGGGTGGTGGCCCGGCCCCAACAGGCCCCACGCCCGAGCCCTGCTCACCAACACATGCCAGGAGCCGGGGAGAGGACCCAGCCACATGCCCTCCCCAGGCAACCCCACCTCACCTATTAAGTCTGGGGAGGGGATGGCGGGTCGCCCCGGTCAGGAGCAGCCTCCACCTCCGTCCCGCAGGTCCTGTCTGGTCGGAGTCCAAGCCAGGCAGGACAGGGGGAAGGCGGAGCTGACTGCCCCAACCACAGCAGCCCCCATCCCTGCTCTGGCCACACCTCTGCACCTGACCCTCCCTGCTGCCTATTCCTCCAGGAGGATGGGAGGCACCCAGGTGGGGAAGGGGAGCAGCAGCCACTCAGGATGGGGCCGCCACCCATCTGACAGGGAGGGAGCCTCAGCATTTCAACAAGGGCAACATTAGTCTGAAGACACCTGGGGTTCCTGCAAGGCCCCCCAGCATGGGCGACCTGGCCCAACTCCAAGGCACAGGGCCGGGTGCTTGAGGGAGGCCACCCCCACCCCGGAACCCCGATGGAGCCAGAAGAAGCCACCCCCCAGGAAGGAGGTGGCCGCTAGGTCAGGGTCAGCAGGCACGCGGAGTGCTGGGCGCGGGCCACGCGGACCGTGTGTGTGTGCTGGCGCTCTGCTGCCCGGGGTGTCTCATCCCGCTCCAGGGCCCGGCTGCTGCCAGGTCCCACACCAGCCTCGTCCTCAGGCCACAGGCATCTCCAGGGAGGATGCTACCCGGCAGGCAGGGCCACGCGGTGCTGCTCAGAGGTCGGGCCGGCCTCGTCCACCTCTACCACGGGTAACTGGAAGGTCCCCACGAGCCCAGCGAGGCCTCAGCCAGGGCAGCAGGGCTGAGGAAACCACTGAATGATGGGTGGGGTTGGGGGACTGCCCTTGGTCCGCACACCTGTGAGGACGGGCCAGGCACAGACGTCCTGTGTTCAATGGGAAAGGCTCCCAGGCCCTCCTGCGGGGAGGGTGAGGGCCAAGGACGAGCCCTGGCGGTGGCGGGAGGCTGGGTGGGGGCGGGGTCCGGCCGCTGCCCTGACTGTGCCCACCCACACCACCCACACAGCGGGCCACTAGGAGGAGCTCCCCCAGGCAAGGGCGCCTGTGCAGCTGGGTGAGGGAAGACCCAGTCCCCCTCCAGTCCCCAGGGCCCCTGTGGCAGGCTGCCTCAGAGGGAAGACTGCAGGGAAGCCGGGCCCTCCTGCTTATTCCTTCTGCCCAGGAACTGGAGGGACCGGAACGTGGCTCTTACTCAGTCACGGGCCAGGGGGACAGTCAGATGGCCCAGGAGTGTGGGGCTGCACCAGGCCTGAGCATCTCCAGGGGAGCCCCAGGGCCATGAGGCCTAACACCCTGGCCAAAGGGCGTGCCCAGGAGCCATGACCACAAGCCCCGAGGTGAGGCCCAGCAGGCATGGCCTCGGTCTCTGCTCCTGGGGGACAGAGAGCCCAGCTCTCCAGAAACCCACCATCCCTGGGTTCCAGAAGTGCATGGCGGCCTTGGATGCTGCTGGGAGCTGTCGCCAAGGGACCCGGCGTTGCCCAGCAGCGAGAGCCAACAGGAAAAGCACTCACCGCCCACAGAACCTGTGTGACAAATGCAGAGCCACCAAGCGTGTCATCGGGAAGTCGTGTCTGAGTGCCAGCCAAGAAGGATGGGGCAGGCACATCTCCAGGCCCCTTCAGCCACAGGGGGAGCGCCCTCCTGGGACCAACTGGACACTCGGCTGCCATCTCAGGCTGGCGCCTGCCACCACTGAGCCACCAGAGCCCAGTACGGGGCTACCTGACACGGTCACCGAAGAAAAGGGGCTTGTCAGCCTGCACCTGCACAGCGTGGCCCCAGTTCTCTCCTCCCTGTCCCAACCCAGATCACAGCTGCGAGGTGGAGGGTGGGAGGGGAGGGGAAGAGAGGGGAGGCGCTGCACCCATGTGCAGAGAGAGGTCACCCCAGCCTCAGGCAAGGTAGCTGCCCCCGCCACCCCCCCACACACACTGGGAAGGAGAGGGAGTGGGGTGGGAGCAGGACTGAACCACTGAGTGGGGACCTTGGAGGCGGGAGAGCACCCTGGGGCCCAGGCCTGGGTGGGGACTTACACGGCCCTGGCAGTGAATGTGCTGCTGTGATGACAAAGAGCTTCCTGCCCGTGTGTCCAGGGCTGCACAACCAGCTGGGGCTGCCAGCAGTGCTGCACTCCTCCGCAGAGGGCAGAGGGCAGAGGGCACACACCGTGGGCACTGTGGGTCACACTGGGGCTCTGTCACATATTCCTTCTTTCTCTGGCCTTCTGTGTGTTTTGCTTGCAACCATTTAAAGATGAAGAGCCACCCTCTGCCCTTGCAAACACAGGCCCTGTCTGTCCTGGCCCCGGGGCTGGAACTCACCACCCCAGCTTACACAAAGGACACATTCCTGAGGAGCCTGTGTGGGACCAGGAGTCCCCGACCCAGGTTCAGCAGCAAGGACACTCCTCGGAGCCTTCTCATTCGCCATGAACAGGAACCACTTACGCCCTAGTGGGTATCATCCTGTCCTGCGTTGTTCCTGGGTTTACCTGTGTGACCCATAACACTACAGCAGAGGGGAGGGAGTGTGCCTTAGAGATGAAGTTATTTGAAAAAACATTGCAGCTCCGATCTTGGGGCTGCTCTGTCTCTCTCAGATTGCTGGCTCTGGGGAAGCCCTGCCCTGAGCAGCCCTATGGAGAGGCCTGGTGGGGAGGCCTGCGGCTCCTGCCACAGGCAAGTGAGCAATCTTGGAGAGCAGAGCCCCCCACCTCCACCCCCAGGCAGACCCAATGGCCGTGGCCCCAACTGACGCCTGGACTGCAGCCTGTGAGAGACCCCGAGCAGGAATCCCTCAGCCAAGCCTTCTAGGATCCTGACTTTCAGACACTTGGGAGACCACAAAGTGCTAGCTGCGTTAAGGCACCACGTTTGGGGTAATTTCTTACCCAGCAATAGGTGACTACTACACGATGATTTTAAATGGAGGCCACTCTAAGTCAGTCTGAAGCAAACAAACCGATGAGAAACCCCAGAAGCCATTAGGAAAAGCCTGGAAAGTCTGATGACATAAAAACTGAAATCATCTGCCCGACCAAACCACAAAGTCAAGAGACAAGTGACAAAGCGAGGGAAAAAACAGTAGCGAGATGTGACTCAGGGCTCCTATCATTAGAGTAGAGAGAGCTTGAAGCAGTCAGGGACGAGTTGGAAAAGCCAATGACCCAACAGGAAAAGGGGGTGGAAGAGGGGAAGGCGGGAAATGAAAGCCAAAGGCTCCTGCGCCACCTGAGTCCACAGGCAGAGCATGCTGGGCTGCCGAGGTCCCAGAGCTGCTCATTCCGGGCACAAATGGTGGCGGGTGACTGGCACTGCATTTCCTCTGCCGCTCCAACTAGACGGCAGGCCATCCTGGAGCCGAACAAAGACTATCCACCGCAAAGACTGGCCAAAGCGGTGGGTGGTGGTGCTGGGTGTTGAGCAGGTCTGTCCGGGCAGCATCACCCAGGAGCTGGGAGACCCTATAGGTGAGGAACCTTTGGCAGGAAAGGCGACAGCTTCCCCCCAGCTGGAGGGCGGGCCACACCCACAGCCCAGACAACTGTCAGGGCACTTCCTGGGCAGACAAGCCCCTTTCTGGTCTCCACACTCCCCCCAGTCGGCTTGGTCTCGGTCTCAGGGCCCAGGTTCCTTTCCCATCCCCGAGCTCGGCATTCGGGTCTTTCTCCTCTGCCTCATCAGAGTCCTTTCCATCCCCACGCCCAGACACAAATCTGATCTCCGCCCCCTCTCCTCCTTGTCCAGATGTTATCAGCCCCAGTCTGGAACCTGCTGAGCACATGTACAAACATGACACCTTATCTTGCCTGGACTGAGGATGGCATCCTGCAGTGCCCCCAGGCAGGGAAGGGCGACCATTACTCAATGGGAAACTCCTGATCTCGCGAGAGCTAGCACCCTCCTGGCACTTCCCAGGCCCACAGGGACCCTGCAAAGGGCAGGGGGCACACACATAGCACTCTAGGCCTCTAGAGCAGTGCTTCTCACAGTGGGGGTCCCCAGGCCCAGCGTGAGAACCACCAGGACGGATGGTCCCTGATCGTGCCCACTCCTCGAGAAGCCACGAGCTTTCTCTGCGGGGTTCGCCTTGACCTCCCCAGGTGAGAGGCAGGCAGGCAGAGAGGCAGGCACTGATGGCTGATGGCTGCAACCACAGGTTGTCCTGGAGAACAGGCGTGCTTGGGCAGGATTCCCTCCCAGCAAGCCACACCTGTCAAGTGACATGGGGAAGACTTTGTTACTTCTTGCCCATCTCACGACCCTACCTCCAGAAGCCTGGACAGGCACCTCTGGCAGATACCATGGCTCTGGGTACTGGCCCCAGCTCTGCCCACCTCTCCCTGGATACTAGCTTGTGTGTGTATATGTGCGTGGAGGAGGGAGGATCCATGCTTCACAGAGCCGTCCCAGTCACACTCAGGGGCGCTGGAACACAGTGGGCCGGGCAAGGGTGTGTGTGGGTCGGGGAGAGTGCTACATTCTGAGCTCTGGGAGGGTGGAAGCTCCAAGAAGTGCGGAGTAAGGCCGCCCTCAGAGGCCAGGACTAGCGGGGGGGGGGGAGCCGGAGACCGTGCCCTTTGCCATCTGCCCTCCCTCCCCACTCACCAGGCCCCTGGGGACCCCAATACACGATCCCCGGCCACCTAGAGGGCCAGACACCCTCGGGACAGTGGTGGGAGTCCTGCCAGGAGCGGCGAGAGGGGCGCCCTCAGGTCTCCCGGGGCCTGGACTCTGAGGAGGCTTCTCTTCCGCCTCTCCCCCGGAGAGGGCGTAGACCCCCGGGGTCTCGGGGAACCGGGACTCTGGCCCAGCCCAGGACTCAGAGGAGCCGAGGGCGGAGTCCAAAGCCCCAGGGCGCTGACGAGCAGGCCCGGGCGTCGTCCCGCCGCGCCGGGCCCCACCCGCACCGCCCCCGCGTCTATCTCCTCACCTCCCTTCAGCGCACCCACCGGAAACCACGGAGCACCGCCTTCCTGCCCACCCCTTCCGGCTAGATCCGCCAATGACTAAGCTCGACTCGTGACTAGACCCGCCTCCAGGTGACCGAGGTATCTCGGCCCCGTGGCGTGACGGGCCCCTCTTCTGTCCAATCAAAACAAGCCGCCCGCGTGCGCGCCCCTCTCGGCTCCGCCCCCGCGCGCTTTCTTCCTCCGCGGTGGGGCCCAGCCTTCTGCGAGCTGGCAGACGTCCCCCGCGCCCCGAGAGCGTGGACTCTCGGTGCGGAATCACGGGAGTCGTCCAGTAGGCGCAGCTTGCGTGCTTTTGCTGTGAACTTGCATTCTGAAGGAACTAAGTCCCAGGGGCCGCAGCCCCTGCCGCCGCTCCCCCAACGCGGGCATGCCTATGGTGCCGTCTGACGGCTGCTCCGGGTTTTATCAGTGTGTGTGTGTCACGCACGCGCGTGACCCCCACTGACATCAGTGTCCAGTGTGTGTCCTCCCAAGTATCCCTCCCGTGGACCTTTCATAGCCTCAGCCTCCTCCCTCCTCCCAACCGTGGCAACCAGAATTCTGTTCTCATCTCTCTAATTTTGTCATTTGAAGACCGTGACATAAATGGAATCGGGCAGTGTGTGACCTGGGGTGGGCTGTTTTTTCCACTCACATGATGCCCTGGAGAGCCCAGCAAATCGTCGCACGTTTCAACAATAGTTAAGTTAGTTCTTCCTTTGTATTGCCAGCTCTAGTCCTTGGCGGGGATCAGCCACGGTTGGTTCAAGCGTTCACCCACTGAAGAACGTATTGCTTGTTCCCACTTTTAGGCTTCTGCAAAGGAATCTGCTGAGAACATTCGTGTACAGGTTTTCCTGTCGTCTTAACGTTTCCATTTCTTTGGCATAAACGGCCACCAGTGCAATTGCTGGGTCCTACGGAGGTGGATGTGTAGCTTTAAAAGAAACTGCCAAACTGCCTTCCACTGGGGCTGTATCATTTTCCATGACCACCCTCGCATATTGTTTAAGCACAAAATTGAACATTGTTACAAAACATTATTTTAAGCAAGAGTGTTAATCGTTTTGTTTCTCTCTTCTAAACCGTATTCTTCTATGCAATCACCAACACAGTTATTCACACCGTTTAAAACACACACACACACACACACACACACACCCTGGACACTTGATGGTGATTTTCTTTTAATTAGCAACAATATATCTTGGAAATTCTTCCATGTCAGGACACAAACGTCCAGCTCATTTCTTCTCTCTGGCCACATGGTATTTGATAGAATACGTGTCCTATAATTTACCTAATGGATCCCCAGTTGAGGTACCTGTACCTTTTCTTCTCCTTCTTTTTGCTGTTCATGTTAATGCTGCAACTCCCAACTCTGAGCATGTGTCAATCTCCCTCTAGGATAATTCCCTCTAAGTGGAACTGCCAGGTCAAAACCTGGGGGCATTTAAACTTTTAATAGACACTATGTAATTGCTTCCCCCCAAGACCCTACTTGGTCATACACTAGGGCTGTTAGTCCTTTGTTCCATATGTTGTAAATTCTTTCCCTCAGTCTGTCTCTTGTCTTGAGAGACTAGGCTTGCTGTTCTGGGCTGTCAAGAAGTTAGACAGACATTTTTATATGACCAAATTTATTGAACTCTCAATTGGTGTTTTCTGGGTTATGTATCTTGGGCACAAAGCCCTCCTCCCAAGTGTGAGGAGAGTGATGAGACTCGGGGCAGAATTTCTGAGTCCCCATAGCCAGTTCCTTGTCTGTTTTTTTTGGGGGGGGTCTAATGATTTTTTTAAGTATTTTTTTTAAATGGAGGTACTGGGGAATGAACCCAGAACGTCATGCATGCTAAGCATGCACTCTTCCGCCGAGCTACACCCCACTCACCGTCAATTCCTTGCGGACCCAGGCTGGTAGGTCGGCCTGCGGCCAAATCACTGTGTGTGTGTTGGAGGAGCGGGGTGCTGCTGCCTCGGCTGGGACTGGGAGCAGTGCCTCTCAGACATCCAGCCCCTGCCTTCCAGGGATGCCAGTCCAGTTTGGGAGAAAGACAAGGAAATGTGTAACGAGAAGAGCCTAGTTATATTATTTCAGTGCAGGGACACGAGGGAGATCCATGAGGAAACAGCCTTGAAAACGGTGGGGGGAGGGGCTGGGTTTCCGAGGCGCTCGGAGTTAATGGGCCTCAGAAGGTGAGACAGCACAACCGAGAATCCACCTAAAACCAGTGCTCTCGAAGGGTCACCTGCACGGTGGAAAGGAAGAACAGGCATATGAAAAGAAGTGGGTCCATCCCAGCCTGGGTCTGAGTGAGCAGGAGGAGAACCCCGCCCCCACGTCATCCTTAAGCAGGGGCTACCTCCCGGGGCCGGCCGCGGGCAGAAAGGCTTCAGCGAGCCAACCGCTGGCTGCCAGAGGAACTGCCCCCCCCACTCCCCGCGCCCCCATCGTGCTGCTACTGCTGGGCTCCTGGGAGCAAACCCTGCCCGGGAGAGGACTCCTCACCCCAGGCGTCCCGTTCAGGACTCCCGGAGGCCCAGCTGAAGGCGGGTCCGCAATCTCCAACTGAAGCCACCGCCTGCCCTCACGGAAAATCAGCAGGTCTGTCAAAGAGAGGGCTGGCCCTGTCAACGACCCCCTCCCCAGGCCATAACTGTCAGAGGCCAGATGACATCATTTTTGGCAATGGCTGCGAGGGTTTGCTATGTGCCTGGGCTCAGCCATCCCACCCTCTCCACAGCGCTACAAGGTTGGTAGGATGCTGTCCTCACTCTCTGGATGAGGAAATGAGGACCACATGACACACAAGGGTTAGGTAGCTTGTTCTGAATCACTAGCTAGCAAGTGGCTAAGGCCAGGTGTGGATCGAGGACTCTGGGCTCTAAGCCTGACCTCTCCCCCCTTTGTGGGCTACGCTCTACAGCCTGGCTCCCTTGTCACTGGGAGATTCCCGGGGCCTGCCAGGGGTACATCAGCTTGTCCTGAAGGCGGCAGAGGTGAGCCCAGGTGAATATCCCCCAGGCCTTGGGTCAGCACTTAACAAAAGGAGGAGGGTGAGAAAGAGAAACACCTTCTACTCTTGTGCTTAATCGGGGACTTTGAAACACCGACTGACATCACCTTTGCATTCTCCTGAGATCAGAGAGCAGTTCTCATGGATATTTACAAATCGTTTGCATTAGTGATATAAAGGTACTCTGCAGTAGCCCCCAGAGACACAAAAAGATACAGAAGAGGGAATCACAAAGATACGAGTAAAGTGAAAAGATTTGAAAAAGAAAAAGCATTTTAGAAGTTAAAAAAAGAAAGCACAGTCATTGAATAAAAACCTCAAGAAATTAATTAAACCACAAGTAGATGCCACTGAAGAAGGAGTTAATGACCTGGAAGACGGTGCCTCAGAAATCACCTCCTGCCCTGGTCCCCCTCGTAGCTGATGATGTTGCTCCCTCCTTCCCTGAGAGATTGCAGCAGCCCCTCCTCAGAGATCCGGGGCTCTGGATGTTCAACGCCCCTCATGCTGGCTTCTAGCCTTCCAGTGACATCAACCCCTTCCCTTCTGCCCCTTGCTCCAGGGGCGGCAGCTTCTTCCTGTACTGTCCCTGTTCCTTCAGCCCTCCGCTCCCTGAGTGACCAAGTGGGGCTCGAGGCACCCGTGACCTGCAGGGGCCTCACAGTTCGCCAGGGTCTCACCTGCAGTTGACTGGGATGAAGGGTCCACTGCAGCAAGTACCTGGGGAGCTGGAGTAGCTGCCGCCCTGGACGGTCAGGAAGGTCACGATGGCTATCAGGACTGCAGTATGGGATGACTCTTGAGTGTACCTGGGAGTGTACAGAGGAACAGATGACAAGGTCAGATCCCTTACAAGTCACACTATGACAGCCAGAGAACTTCCATGCAGCCCTACCAAACTCTCGTACTCCCTGTACCTGCAGGGCTGAAGGTGCTGGAAAGGAAGCATAGCATTTCATTGTGAGGGTTACAGAATCCCAAGGCCCGTTGAATTCCCAGCCTCTCCACATTTCTCATATGAAAGGTAGAGCAGTGGTTGGAGGACTGGGACCCTGAAACCTGGAACTGGGACAGCTGGTTGGCTTCAGTTGAAGCTGACAATTGGGAAGACCCCAGTCCCACTGAGCCTGTTTTGCCAGACGAAGTAGCCTGCCCTCCCGTGTCTGAGGGGCTGGTGTTCTCTCCCTCGAGGACTGTGTCATTACCTCACCTGGGGCAGATGCCTTGCAAAGGGAGACCCGTTGTCCTCCAGACTCTCTGCATCCACACCCTGTTGCCATTAGACCCATAACTGGAATCCAATGACAGCATGATCATGGGGATAAGGGATACAGTAAGGTGGGGGGCATGTTTCATCTCGGCATGTATACTTTACACACCTTGGTTCCTGCTTGAATGTTCTGTAACTCCGCTGTTCTCAGTAAATGGGGAACAACACTAGGGATCATTTCAAGATTCTTTAGTTTCAGGCCATCCCTTTTCTTATCCTATGCATGGCCCAGCATGGCCTAATGCTCCAGTAGGGCTGTAGAAGGTACCTGTCTCCGTTTTCCGTGACAAGTATGGCCATACCTGGGCCGGTATGTCTGTAGGGTGGCGTGTTATTGCTGGAGGACTCTGGTCCCCGATCCCATTTGCTTCGGAGGTCTGAGTCTGAAGAGGAACTCTGCTCTGTATCACCTTCCTTATTTTGAAGTCCAGGAGGACGTGGGCTGCATACCTCGGCCACCACCCTTATCTGCACCTCTAGCCCTATCCACCCCCTCCTCCCCTTTTCACCCACCTCTGCCTGCTGCAGCTCTGTCTACCTCAGGGTCCCCTTCTCTCTGGCCATACCTCTTGCTCCCCACCACTGTCAGCCCACGGTCAGGAGCAGTGCCCTTATCCGAGTTGTTTCTGGGTTCCAAGGCCGCCGCAGGGCACCCTCCGCATGGGGGCTGGGCCCCTGGCAGCCAGCCGGGCACCAGCTTCACGCCTATGGCGCTTGCCCCTCAGGGCGTGGCCCCACTGCCTGCCGTGGCTCTGGCGACGCTGATTGGCTGGGACTCAATGAGTGACCGTATAAAACCCAATGACGTGGCACGAGCCACCGCCCAAGCGCGGATTGGCTGGCCCGGGGAGGGGCGAGCTCGGCGTGCACAGGGTTGGCCGGCGGGTGGGGCGTGGGCCAGCAAGAGGCAATGTCAAATGGTGGGTAGAGGGCTTCCCAGTAGGGCCCAAGCATATCGGAGGGAGGTGCGAGCAGCCAGGGTTGCAGAGCAGAGGGCTGGCCAGAGAGCGGAAAGCGGGGGCCGTACACCGCCAAGCCCCAGGCAATCCCAGTGAGGCCGGGAAGGGGCTGGGGCGTGCCGAAGCCCGAGGCAGTGGCTAGGGAGTAGGAACCGGCCGGGAAGGCAGGGCGTCTCAGTGGGATTTATGTGGCACTTCTAAAATCCTGCTCACAGCCCTGTAAGGCAGATGCTGTCACCATCATCAGCACCATCATCCCCTTTGATAAATGAAACTGAAGCAAAAAGGGTGACTTAGTTTCCCTCTACATAAACGAGTAGCCGACATGGATTATAGGCAGGCAGTAGGGGAACCCCAGTTCCTTCATGGGAGGGAATCAGATCAGCAAGGAGACATTCTCAAGGAGCCTTAGGGGCAAGGGTGCTGGGGCCCATGGCTCCGGAACAATTAAACTGAGATCCTTACGTGCCTGATCAGTTCCGAGTGTGATCGTCCCCCATCATCTTGGCTACTCTTCACTCAGGAGCTATAGGAAGGCCAAGCTGGCCACAGGGCCACCCCTATGTCTGCATAATCACGGCTCCTCTCCACCCTATTACTCTGTGGGGGCCCAGGTTCAGGCTTTTGGAATGGCACTTTAATCATAGACCATATTTGTTGCTCCGTTTAGGCTGCCACAGTGCATTCCTGTGCAGTTTCTACTGTGGGTATCAGCAGATGGGCATTTTACGCTTAAATATACAAGCAGGGGTGGTGCTAGTGCACAGCCATACATCCTGGCTTGTCTGTATTCATAATGGCTTTACCTTCAGAGTGCTTTAGAACTTACAGCTCTTTCACGGTCACTGTCTCGTTCAATCATAAAATTGCTTAAGCACACACACACACTCAAAAGGGTAAACAGAATTATCACATGACCCAGCAATTCCACTCCTAGGTTTACATGCACCCAAGAGAAGTGAAAATATAATCTACAAACTTGAATAGGAATGTTCATAGCATTATTCACAATGGACAAAAAGTGAAAACCCAGATGTCTACCAACTGACGAATGGATAAAATGTGGTCTATACATAGGATGGACTATTATGTGGCCATGAGAAAGAATCAAGTTCTGGAACACGCTACAGTGTGGGTGAACCTCAAATGCAATTATGCTAAGAGAAAGCAGCCAGACACAAAAAGGCCACATGCTGTACTATTCCATTCATACAAACTGTCCAGAATATGCAAATCCCTAGAGACAGGAAACACATGAGTGGTCACCAGGGGCTGGGAAGCTGAATGGGATCTTTTTGGGGTGATACAAATGTTCTAAAGTTGGCCATGGTGACAGCTGTAAAACAATTCTTTTGAGTACACGAAAAACCACCAAACTATACACTTCCAATGGGTGTTGTAATGGAGTGTGGGATGGCTAGTTAAGTGAGGTAAAATTTTTTTTGCTTATTTGCATTTTTTTCAATTTTCTACAATGACCCTATATCAACTGCTATTTTTACAAGAAAAATTCAACTGTTTGCTATTTTTAATATTTCTGTATCTTGATATATTTTTGTATTAATTATATTAACTTTATTTTACCAAAAAAATCAAAATCTTAACAAATAAGCACAGAAATAATCATGCTAATTTTACAGGCCAGGAAACCAGCTTAGTGATTTAAAACGGCAGGGACAGAATGAGTAGGTGCCAAGGAGGACTCAGGGCCAGGCTAGTTCTGTCTCTACCACACATTCTAGGAAAAAAAAAAAACCCTTGATGACCAGTTAATGACACAGCAGATATACCTGGTCAATTTTAAAATGGTTTTTAAGCTCAGACTTATCTTTAATTTATCTGGCTGGCATTTTCTTCTTGTATTCCAGCCACACAATTCATGTCCTCAAAGCTGAAATAAGGAGTTGGCTCAGGGAAGCTTTTCAGGCCAACACTGTCCTCTAGTGGTGCATCTCCTGACCGGTACCCTTTCTAGGGTTTGTTGTTGGGGGACACAACTCTCTCTCCTTCTGGTATAGACAGCAGCTCCTTTCTTATTTGGGACTTTATCAAGGAGAAACCAAATCATACATACAAGGCACAAAGGAAACAAATCAGCTAGCTGGTTTTTAATTGCTTTATTATTAACATTAACATTAACAAGTAACCTTAGTAGATGACTATAATTGAGCTAACAGTTTGTGGTTTGGTCCCTGAGCAAATGAGACATTTCTGAGATCTAACAAAAGAGTGCAGTGCAGAGACTAGAACTAGTTGTGTGCTCTCTCCACAGAATAGTCACCACAAGCAGCACAAGACATCCTAACAGCTGGCATTGCTGCTCCACAGCCTCTGCATCGTGGAGAAGAGATGAAGGCAAACACTGGAGGAGGTTCCTGGGCAACTGCAGTCACACAGTACCTGGGACGCTGCAGGTAGGAGGGCAGCGCAGGAACTCATGAGCTGGGACAGCAGTGTGCAGCATGGGGCTATGGCGCTGTAAACCCCGGGCAGCTGCAATCTATGATTCAATTCACGGGTTCTTTTACTTATGAGGAAAATACACATATTGAGGAAACTGCTACCTTATGTAGGTCCCTAGTCCAGTTATCTGTAGTTTCATCAGAAAACTTATTATTAGGTAGTTGTTTTGTTAGCTATTCTGTCATTTAAAACCTTACCTTATAAACCTACTTTAATGATTCACAGGTGAGAGTTACACTTGTATATGCAGTTATGGCTTAACAGGAAAATAGTTAACTTGCTTTGCTTTTAAAAAGAGTAAAGCACAACAGTATAGATTTAAGTAATGGTTTGGCAACAAGCATCAACGTAAGGTAAAGAGGCCAGTCTTTTAAGACCAAGGCCAACAGCTATTTTAATTCATTAACATACATTTCACAGCCACTATGATGTGCCTGGCACTGATTCCAGACATATCCAGCAGCTCACTTGGCTTCCCACTCTGAGGCACTCCTGGTACTGCCAGCTGATGGACCAGGATGTCAGGCTCCATGGAGACAGCTGCAGAGACGGCCTCCCCGATGCCACCTGGAGAAGCAAGGGACATTAGCTCTGTTACCGAAGTGGCTGGTCAGCCTTCAAACCCCATTGTACAGAGGCCTTTGAATTTGTGGTTCTCAGGGAAATGTATTTTTCACTAGCCACTGATTCATGTGAACAGTCATCCCCTGACTGGTCAGAAGAGTTCTCATTCGAAACTGCAGGTCTCCAAATTGTTCCCAGCCCGACCTACAACAGGGGCTCTCTCATCTGGGGCTCCATGGATGCAGGAGTCTGTGGAGCTCAGATTCTCAAAGCTGTCAGGAACCAAAGAATTGTACAGAAGAGAGCTAGTGGCAGGCCCAAGGCTGGCAGCTTGGGAAGGGCTGGCTGGTGAAGTTGGCCTCATGGTGGCGCCCAGGCTGCAGGCTGGTGCGAGTCCCCTATGCTGACATGACATGTTCCCGACTGATCAGGACGGTCCCCGGGCCTGGACCAGTCACACAACAGAGCGCATGCCTGGTCGTGATCGGCCCTCAATGAAACCCGGGGCGCCCAGTCTCTGGGTTCCCTTGGAGGCCAAGGGATGCATCTGCCGCTGCTGGAGAAGGGAGAGTGCTCAGGGGGTCCCTCAACGGAGGGAGACAGGGAGCCAAGGCATGGGGCTCCACCCCAGACCCATGTCCTCTGTCCTCGGGCGTCCTAGCATGTGCTTTTCCTGTGGATCATGGGTGTGCCGCTGGGGCCCTTAACATGCAAACACATGAAGCTCCCCATCCTCTCATCTGCACCACCTGACCGTCCTTGGTCAAACACTGCCCAGCCCCCTCTCCCCGGCCACACATTTTCTGCATTTGCTGTGTTCTCTGCTTGCAAGGCACTATTCCCATTTTTTGGTGAGGGGCAAACTATTAATAATCATTGAAAACTCTAGAGCAACTGTGAAGCTTCTTACAACTCCTCCCCACACCATGCCAAATTAGACACTCCTCTGTGCTGCCGGAGCCACCCGGGGACCAGGCACTGCACACTGTGCTGAGGACACACAAATGAGGATGGGCACAGCCCCAGGCTTGGAGAGCCAGCATAGGTGGGCAACAGACCATACACCCATACGCTTTCAAAGAGCAAGCAATACCGGTTGTTGGGTGACTGGTTGGCTGGAGGCGCTGCCCAGGAGTGTGGCACACCTCTAATGAGGGAAAACGAAAACATATCCCACCAAAGAGGACTTTCAAAATGATTCCCAAGGGCCACACACACCTTCAGGGTAGTGGTCCTCCACTGTGATAATCCGGCCGCCTGTGGCTTTTGCATTGGAGATGATGGTGGCAGCATCCAGGGGTTTAACAGTAAACAGGTCGATGACACGGACAGAAATATCTGGAGAACAGCAATAACAGCATGCCATATGAAGCAGACTTAGAATAAAAAAACCAGATGGAGCACACAGGCAGCCCAAGCTACCTCTCCCCAGCTTGAACTTCAACATTCAGCAACAACCAACTGACCTTGCTCGGAAAGATCATCGGCGGCTGCTAGAGCTTCATGCAAAGTAACACCAGCTCCAATAACTGTGATCTTGTCGTTGGCACTGTGGCGAATGACCTGGTATTACACCCACAACACAAAAATGCTGTGGTTACCACACACAGAGCATATCTCCAAGTAGAGGACACTCTGCTACACTGCTCTTCCACATCCCATTCATTTCACTCCTGAATAATTCACTATAAAAAAGGCTAAATCAGCACACTGACAAAAACATACTCTTTCTTTTAAAAAATT